GGGCATGTGCAGGAGGAAGAACAGAAAGCCAGAGAGACATGGTTTCACAAGCTCTTCCAAGTCCACACCCCTGGTGACCTAAGGCCCCACCTCTTATAGGTTCCATAATCTCTCACATCACCCATATCCAAACCATGGTGGAAAGAGTTACTAATAAGCTACGATACCACCAACAGCTGATGTATCACCATTTGCTGAATTTTTGCCAACTTAGTGTAAATAATATTTCATGTGGTCTATATTTCCAAGGAAAACCACAGCAATACCTCCCCTCCCACAGCTCTTCTTGTACATGACTTTGACTCTCATCCTGCCAGGGTGGGGCAGGTTGTGCCTCCAGTGGAAATGATGTGCTGACTTCTATATCTAAATCAGAAGGAGCAGTGAAGCAATGCCTGGCTCCCAGGACACTTGCTGTCAGACCCTGCTATGAGGAAGAACAAGCTATACTCACTTAACATCATGTTATATCACACAGATGTGTCCATGTGACAGTGGACTGTGAAACAAGCGTTTGATGCTGATGTGATCAGTCAGGATCTAAACAAGGTCCGCTCATTGCCCTTGAGTGTAGTTGTTTTGAGGAATGTCCTTTGTTTTGGATTCGATGGTTGCTTTATTGTGGTATCTGTCATTCAGAACAGACTTCTATCCCTGTGTTTTCTGTAACCCATAGGTCTATGGCTTTACTACCTTCAAGGTCAGTTTTTCCTTGAAGGCAGGTGGACTTCACAGGCAGCACTGTATTCTGTATCATTCCATGCCCAGAGGTTCGCTGTCTGATTATTCCCTCTCCCCAATGATGCTAATGTTGAGGAGCCCATGGGTGTGCCCACTGGGTCCCTACCTCTGGAGTCACATGCACCTCTACCTGATATACAGCTGTCACTGATGATTGCTTTTGGGACAGTTATTTTATTTTATGAGGGGTTGCACAACAGTGATTTTCTAATCATGTAACTCTTCCTGAGTGGGTTTCTTTTATTTAGAATAACTTTGCCTTATCCATATTGGGTTTCCTAGAGTGTGACTCATATGAGAGCAGCATGGTGAATGCTTATTCTTTTCAGGTAATTATTTCTTGCAGGAATGAATTGGTATCTGGAAGCCTCCCATGTTGTGTGACATGCTTTGTTTTATTCCCTGCTTTCTTTATAAGGCATCATTGTTAATTTACAGATTTCATATGTTTAGCTCTTATTCTCTTGACTCAGATAGCTCTGTCTGGTTTGTGTATCTATTTGATGACTGCTTGGCCTCTGTCACACATTGTGTTCTTGCCTCATTCTTGTACTCTCTTCCCAGGTCTCCTGGGACCGGTCATTCCTCTAGGAGGCCTGTTGTGTTCCAGTTGGGAAGCAGTATATATTGCTCATAGCCTGGGCTTGTCATTGCTGTTTCATAATTATAATGTAGAGAAATAAGAAATGTGTTTTTAAAGAACAAAAATCTTGAGTTAAAAATATTTGTAATTCTTATGGTCTCCAAACTGAAGAGAACACCCACAGAGTGGGAGAAAATATTTGCCAGCTACACATCAGACAAAGGACTGATAACCAGAATATATAGGGAACTTAAAAAACTAAATTCTCCCCAAACTAATGAACCAATAAAGAAATGGGCAAGTGAACTAAACAGAACTTTCTCAAAAGAAGAAATTCACATGGCCAAAAAAACACATGAAAAAATGCTCACATTCTCTAGCAATAAAGGAAATGCAAATTAAAACCACACTAAGATTCCACCTCACCCCTGTTAGAATGGCCATCATTAGCAACACCACCAACAACAGGTGTTGGCGAGGATGCGGGGAAAAAGGAACCCTCTTACACTGTTGGTGGGAATGTAAACTAGTACAACCACTCTGGAAAAAAATTTGGAGGCTACTTAAAAAGCTAGACATTGATCTACCATTTGATCCAGCAATACCACTCTTGGGGATATACCCAAAAGACTGTGACACAGGTTACTCCAGAGGCACCTGCACACCCATGTTTATTGCAGCGCTATTCACAATAGCCAAGTTATGGAAACAGCCAAGATGCCCCACCACTGACGAATGGATTAAGAAAATGTGGTATCTATACACAATGAAATTTTATGCAGCCATGAAGAAGAACGAAATGTTATCATTCGCTGGTAAATGGATGGAATTGGAGAACATCAATCTGAGTAAGGTTAGCCTGGCCCAAAAGACCAAAAATCGTATGTTCTCCCTCATATGTGGACATTAGATCAAGGGCAAACACAACAAGGCGATTGGACTTTGAGCACAAGATAAAAGCGAGAGCACACAAGGGAGGGGTGAGGATAGGTAAGACACCTAAAAAATTAGCTAGCATTTGTTGCCCTTAACGCAGAGAAACTAAAGCAGATACCTTAAAAGCAACTGAGGCCAATAGGAAAAGGGGACCAGGAACTAGAGAAAAGGTGAGATCAAAAAGAATTAACCTAGAAGGTGACACACACGCACAGGAAATTAATGTGAGTCAACTCCCTGTATAGCTATCCTTATCTCAACCAGCAAAAACCCTTGTTCCTTCCTATTATTGCTTATACTCTCTCTACAACAAAATTAGAAATATGGGCAAAATAGTTTCTGCTGGGTATTGAGGGGGTAGAGGGGAGAGGGAGGGGGCTGAGTGGGTGGTAAGGGAGGGGGTGGGGGTAGGGGGGAAAAATGACCCAAGCCTTGTATGCACATATGAATAATAAAAGAAAAAAAAATTTGTAATTCTTATTTAAGGTTGCATGATTCTTATTTAATTTTTAAGTTTTACGCTAGTTTCTCTTTTATTATTAGCACATTTGTTCATTTGCTTTTTCATATGGACACATATATAACAGATTTAGACAAATGTGGCATTATTATCAATAAATGACTAAGTTAAGAATAATACATTTTTCTTGTACTTTTTTTTTACCCTCATAAAATATCCCAAAGATGTTCAGTCAGATTCCTGCATTTGAGGTCAATTCTCACAAGATTTCTCTCTGTGAGGTATAGCACCAACTTGGTGTTTATTTTTCTAGCATTTAAGGATTTTAAAAAATTCTTGTTTTTGATTATTTAAACATTTACACAATTCCAAAGTCAAAATTTATTTTGAGATCTACTCAGAGAAGTCCCTCCCTTATCCCTTTCCTTCCAGGCCCTTCCCTTTAACTTTTAAAAAATCACTCCATTATTTCTTTTTGAAAAGATAAACAAATAGGTATATAAGTGAATTCTTTCACTTACTTTTTTTTTGTTCATATTTCTTTTGATCTTTAGGAAAGTTTGTAATTTAACTTCTTGGCTTTATACCTCTGTCTAAACAATTCACACAAGCCTCTTCCCCCTTACCCTTTTTTCTTTGGCATCCATTTTCATGTCACATCAGTTTGTTTTCTGTAGCTGTGAAGCTTTCAGGAAGCTTATTCTAATTTCTGTTTGCTCTCCCATTTCCTTTGTTGTATTAATTTTATATTTTGAGTACATTTAATACTGTTCTGTTTCCCTTCCCTCCTCCATTCAGCTCTGTTCTACAGTTCAATCATCTGATCCTTATTGCCATACCTTAGGACAAAGTATCTCTGTTATTTCTTGGTTTGCCAGACCCATTATGTACCAGATTCTTCAGGATGGGCTCATGGAAAAAAGTTCCCTGTGTTCTTATTGGTTCATATCTTTTTATCTGTGGAATTTTTTTTTTTTTTTAGAAAAGAATATTACATTTTATTTTCACTTATGGACTTACAGTACATGAATTAAGAAATAAAATCATTGCAGGGTTCTGAAATATTGATAGCTTACGACCCAACATACCAATATCATTAATCCATTCTCCCTGAAAGCAGCCACACTAGCGGTTCAGATTTGGTCTTTGTTGTAGTTGTTGACATTAAGTTCTTACTATGAAATGCTCAGAAGCATTTGAATAATATATTACAGTAGGCATGAGCTAAGTCTCAATATTCCATCTTTGGAACAAATTACACCAATTTATATATTAAGAATAGGCGGCACTATTAATTTACCCTACTGTGAGTTTTTAATGACTGATTTTAAACAACACAGGGTTACCCCCAGCTATTATTTCCTTTAGAATTTCTAAAAGCAACAACTCTTGTTAGTATTTATAAAAGATAATGTTGAAAAAAGGTAATGTTAAAATAAAGGCGCTTTTGAAATATTTAAGGACAACATAAGGTACTGCCATTGGAAAAAAAACTGTACATATTTTCAAGCAAAACACTGAAATACTGTAGCAGTGTTTAACCGAATTACTTTAAAATAATGGTAATTGTACTACCTTACATACTGCTCTAATATCTAAACCTCATAATTACAATTTGCATATACAATCTGACAGTTAAAATTACGAACAGCCTGTGAAACACTATTTTTCAGGTTTGTTTTTGCACATAAAGTTGAAGTTGGTCCTTGATTTGGAGAACTATAACTACCTGGAAGCATTAAATTTCAGACACACTTATTGGTAGCCAACAAAAACCTCGACAGAGTGAAAAGCAATAGTACCATGCATGAAAAAGCAGCTGTTGTCCCAAGTGAAGTATCAAATTTAGCATAAATCCTCTCAGAGTGCTGTATGACCCAAAGAGTAGTCCCCAAAGAAACCAAAAGGAAGCAGCTGGCCAGCCCACAGCATTTCCACAATGGAGCAGTCCTTAAAAAGAGAAGGCTTTGGACCTTTAGCATAAGAGACAGACTTTACATTCTTTGATTTCATTTACACCTTTTTAAAAAAGATAAAGTATACCTGAACTCTTTCATCACACTTAAACTACTGGCGCACCGCAGCAGTTCAAGTTGACTGAGGTCAAGAGGCAGCCACCAGAAACTTGAAAGAAGCCCAGACCCCATTCTCCTCTTCCCTCCCATGAAGTCACAGACCATCTCTTCAAACTACTTGATGTCTGTAGGAGACTTACATTTTATAACATTGTAGAGTTAGCTTATCACTAAATTTTTAAGAAAAGTCCCAAGATGTGTGGAAAAGTATGCTTGCTAACAGTGACTGCTACAATGACAATAATGAAACAGAGCCAGAAAAATAATTTTACTATTTTAAATAATGAAAGAGGCTGAACTTTTAAAATATATTAATTATCTGTTAATAGCTGATTAGCTTGACAGTGAACATATCCTTTTGTTCTGTGAGCTGAATTCAGGTTACATTTCAATTATAGTAGAGCTGCAAATTATAAATACAACCATCTCAATAGTAAAGAGATCATCAAGGCAGTAATATCAGATCAATTCTAAGACTCCACCCAGCACAGAGCACATGAGGTGCTTTGTGATAAAGGCTAAAAAGACCCGGGCTGATGTGGAAAGCAGGTCAGTAAAGACTCCAGTTCTGCATCATGGAATCTTCCAAGCCAAGCCGCTTTCCACAAACACAAATTCAGTCTATCTTTTCTTTTTGGACCAATCTAGGAGCATCAACAAAATCTTTCCCATTGTAAAGAATAATAAAAAATGTTCCAATGCTTGCTACTCCCCAGAAGAGCACATAGGCCAGTGTTTCTGTCCAAGTGTCACCAGCCATAAGCAAACAGATAATGCACATTGAAAAGGCAACAACCATGATAATAGGCAAAGCCAGGAATTTCCAGTCCCTTGGAACACTTAAAGGACTATGTGACTCTAATTCATCCACTGAATAGTTCCCGAGAAATAAGTCTATGGAATCTTGTCTAAATCCATCAGAAAAGTTGTTCTTGTAATACCGTATTAGTGAGTTCAAGCCATCCATTATTAGTCCCAACTGAGTTCTCTTTCCAGTTCTGGTAAAGTCAGTCTTCAAGGCACCAGTTCCTGCATATTGTTTGGCACAAGCATTTGCATTGTCAGCCCAGGCATTTTTGTAAATCTTCTCAAATTCATCTTGTTCTTCAAGCTTCTGTCCCACATGCAAAACTCCTAGTCTCTGAAGCTGGGCCTGAAGTGAACGTCGAGCTAACAAACTCTGGATCACGTTGGTCCTATCTAGACAATCCATACAATTACTGCGGAAGACACCTTCCTGGTTTGTCACCACTTTGCCAGAAGAGTCTACTAGAAAATAACTTAGTTCATCTTGCATTTCTGCTACCTGGTCCAATAAAATACTTAGTCGATCCCATCTCATATTTCTACATTCTTTATGGAAGTCAAAGGCAATGTACCTGATCATTCCACTTCCCAAGGAAGACACCATTGTTGCAAATGCCTGTTCAAGTGGCTTCTCTGAGCCCTTCTGGTTTACCAGATTGATTATGACTTGTTTTCCATAAATAATTACTTGTGAATCAAAATGCCTTTGGAAACCATCCATATGATTTGCTACTTTATTGATCTGTGGCAGTGGTTTGTACTTGAGATTTGGTCTTTGGGACCAAAAAACAGGTATTGATCCTCGAGTCTGTACAAACGAAGCCCTGCTCCCACTGTAGTGCACAATTTGCTCTGTTTCTACAAAGTTAGCAGCATGGCCTTCAGAATCAATTCCTCTTACATAATAGCGCACGCCAGCTCTGAAACAGCTCCTCCTGGAGATAAGAATCCAATCGAAGTATTTCCCATTAACAGAACATGAGTGCATAGTAATAAAGCCATGTAACACTGGAAGAGCAAACCGATGGACCTCTGGCTGAGCAGACAGTTCTCTGAGAAGATGCCCATTCCATACAAACCGCTGATCTGCCCTTTCCAAGAGACTCATTTCCTGAAATTCTGGACTTGTGTTGGACAACCGCTGCAAAGTATGCGTCAAATCATACGTTGTTGAAAAGTAGAATCCATCCATACTCAAGACATGGTTTAGCATTGCTAGGAAAGTTTTATTATCCTGTAACTGAATATCAGTCAAGTGCAACATTGTCTTCTTATAAGAAAGGACATCAAAATCAGTTGCTTTCCAGATTACATGATTGAAAAATTCACCTATTTTCGTCTTTTTGGTAATGACAATAAGATAATTACCTGCCACCAGATGGATTGTACCCAATATACCAAATATTGGTCTTGTGACAGCTGAAGGAGGAACATCTTTCTTGACTGCGAGTGTAACCTCTGTGGATACACGGTCAATGGTAAGTACATCATCTGCTCCATCATCACAAGCTTCCACATAAAATTTTTCAGGTGTAATATGCAGCTTCAGCCGCTCGTAGGCCGTCGCCGCCATCCTGCACCACCACCTCCTTCCTCTTCCTCTTCCCGCTTCGCCCCGCGCCGCCACTTCGGCTACGGAACCACCGGTAACCCAGACACTGCAGCCACAGAGGCCCGGCCTCGTCCCACCCCCTTATCTGTGGAATTTATAGTAGAAGGGTAATTTGACTTCATAAAATGCCCAGTTCACATTATTCCTTTCTCCTTGGTATCAGAGGTGGTGGCTTTGGGTGATGAGGTCAAGAGTGTGCTCCCTTACAAAGGGACCTCTCCCTATGAGGACACAAGGGGAAGATGGCCATCTGCAGCCTGAGAGAGGCTATGCCAGAGCCTAATGACCTTGCACTTCCTGTCTCTAAAGCTGTGAGAAGTAAATTTTTGGCTTCTGTAAGTCATTCATTCAGTCTTATATTGTTATAGCAACAGAACTAACAAAGACTGGTGTTCTTCATCAAGTTGAGGCAGTTCCTTCTATTCTTAAATTGCTGGGTTTTTCTTTTATCATGAATCAGTGTTACATTTTTGTCAGATACTTTTCATGTGCCAATCAGTATGATCACACATGTTTACTCTTTAGCTTGTTAGTATGTGGATTATATTGATTGATTTTTTAATATGGTGTCAGCCTAATTGAGTCCTGCTTACTCATGGTTTATACATCTTTTGTGCATTGCTGGGCTCCTCTTGCTATTTATTTGTTTTGTTAACTTATTTGCATCCATCTCCATGAGAGATTATGTGAAGTTTTCTCCCTCCACACTATCCTTATCTCTGGTTTTAGTATCAGGGTAATAGTATCCTTAAAAAGTGAGTTGGCTGGAAAAAAAATTTGGAGGCTACTTAAAAAGCTAAACATTGATCTACCTTATGATACAGCAATCCCACTCTTGGGGATATACCCAAAAGAATGTGACACAGGTTACTCCAGAGGCACCTGCACACCCATGTTTATTGCGGCACTATTTACAATAGCCAAGTTATGGAAACAGCCAAGATGCCCCAGCACTGACGAATGGATTAAGAAAGTGTGGTATTTATACACAATGGAATTTTATGCAGCCATGAAGAAGAACGAAATGTTATCATTCGCTGGTAAATGGATGGAATTGGAGAACATCAATCTGAGTGAGGTTAGCCTGGCCCAAAAGACCAAAAATCGTATGTTCTCCCTCATATGTGGACATTAGATCAAGGGCAAACACAACAAGGGGATTGGACTTTGAGCACATGATGAGGCGAGAGCACACAAGGAAGGTATGAGGATAGGTAAGACACCTAAGAAACTAGATAGCATTTGTTGCCCTCAACGCAGAGAAACTAAAGCAGATACTTTGGGGCAACTGAGGCCAATAGGAGAAGGGGACCAGGAACTAGAGAAAAGGTTAGTTCAAGAAGAATTAACTTAGAAGGTAACACACACACACAGGAAATCCATGCGAGTCAGCTCCCTGTATAGCTATCCTTATCTCAACTAGCAAAAACCCTTGTTCCTTCCTATTATTGCTTATACTCTCTCTTCAACAAAATTAGAGATAAGGGCACAATAGTTTCTGCCAGGTACCAAGGGGGTCGGGGGGAGAGGGAGGGGATGGGGGGGTAAGGGAGGGGGTGGGGGGGTAGAAATGACCCAAACATTGTATGCACATATGAATAAAATAAAAATTTAAAAAAAAAGTGAGTTGGCAAGTGTTCTCCTTGGTTGTATTTTCTGTATGGTTATCTGGATTTGGTGTTTGTTGTTCAAATGTTTAGTAGAATTTTCCCGTGAAACCTTCTGGGCCTATAGATTTCTCTTTGGGGAGCTTCTTATTACAGATTCAACTTGTTTAATTGTTACAGGGATGTTGCAATTATCTAGTTCATTCATTTTTAGTAGTTTGTTGTTTCTTCTTGTATCTCCTTATTTTCTGAGGCTTTTTAAAAGAAATTTGTGTAAGCATTTTCATAAATGTTCATTGAAGCATGTTTATGATGGCTGCTTTAACATCCTTGTCACAGAATGGTAACATCTCTATCATCTCAGTGTCAGCCTTTGTTGGCTTTTTTTTTTTCTTTCATGTCGAGATGTTCCTAGTTTTTTGTACGACAAGTGACTTTTGTTTGTATCTTGGACATTTTGGTCATGTGCTGAGGTTCTGGTTCTACTTGAATGTCTTAGTGGCTTCTGCTACTAGCAGGCAGAAGGGACACCTGTCAGCAGCAAGCTGGGGTGGAAGTCCAGCCCTCTTTCACCCCCACCAACACTGCTGGTGGGAGACTATGGGTGGGAGTGGAGGCTGTGTTCTCCATCAGCCTCACCTGGTAGGACTTGGCTTGTCCTGTCACCTTTGCATGGAGTAGGTAAGTTTTGTGAAAAAGGTTACTTATAAGGTTTCCCATTTCTAGTCCTTTCCTTACAGAGAGCAGGCTTTTCTTGGGACTTTAACTTTTCTGTCTGTCTTCTTTGTCATTTTTAGGTTGTTAGCTAGACAGACTACCTTTGGTCTCCACCTTTGAGGACTTCTTATGTTTGCTCCATGCATAATAATAAGCCAGCAGAAGAAAGGGAGAGCCAGAAGCTCTGTCTTCCTCTTTGTCCTTGGCCAGCTCCATGGTTTTCCTTGATTAGTGTTATCAGAGGGTTGTACATTACTTAGACTTTAACTTCAAGAATCAACTTTTTTACTTATTGATCTTCTCCACTGACTCTTTTTTTCCTTTATTTAGCTTCTGATCTTTTTTATTTTTACCTTCTACTTTTTGTAGGCACTTTCTATTCTTTTTCTAATGTTTCACATTGGATTCTTGACTCACTATTTTTCTGCCTTTATTTATTCTTAATAAAGACTTTTAAACCTATAAACTTTCCTGTAACATTGTAACTGCTTGCTGCCAATCTTGGCATGCAGGAATTTTATTGTTTAGGTCTGTTTTCTAACTTCATTATGTTCTTCCCATCCATTTCTTATAGAAGCATTTTAAAAATGTAACAAGAGAACTATAAAGTTGTCTTTTGCTAATGATGTGTAATTTAATTGTCTAGTTAGTAGAAAGCATAGTCTGTTGATCCATGTCTTCAAAATTTATGGAAACTTACATTATGAGCTAAAAAACTCAGTTTTTACTTTATTGTCTGAGTTTTAAGCTAATGTGTAACTTCTAGTTGTCAAGTGTAGAGGTTAATAAGCACTGTCATATTTTTTGTGTTGTTTGTATTTTCTACATCTTTATTACTTTTAGAGCTATTCTTATATGAACAATAATTGAGATGAGTTGAGTGTCTCTGCTGTTCTCCCAGGTCCCCTTCTCATGCCATGTGTCCTCTATACCACAGATGCTTTCTGCAGTGAAATTGCTGCTCCTCCTGACGAATGTGTGTCTCCCCACCCCCTGCACTCGTGCGAACGCGAGCACACACACACACACACACACACACACACACACACACACTCCCCAGGTTCCTCAGGTCCACTTTCCTGGGGATTCTAAAATCACAGCCCCCTACCACCACCCATTGTCTGGGTGTTTTAGTGGGGCTGGCCTGTCCATTTGAGATGGAGGAAATGCTTGGTCATTTTGGGGGAACTCCATTTCAGGGAAGCCTTGTAACTTGATTGTGCTGACCACTGATGCCTCATTAGAAGCTCTGATAAAGCACATTCCAGACCTAGAAACTTTGTGCAGTGTGGATGGTTGGGGAAGGGATGGTGTACCTGCTCTTCAAAACTCTTCACATGGCTCCACCTTTACTGCTGGATGTGTACCGAGAGAGAATTCAGCATGGATGCAAAACTTCACACGCAAAAGTAAAGAGCTCATAATCAGTCTGGGCCCCCCTATTCCCAAGTGAGCTTTGTCATTGTGTTGGCATTATCTCACACATGATCTCACCATCCTCTTCTGCAAGCCTGTAAGGGAGGGTGACCTCCTCTCTCACACAGGGGACCAGGGCAGCTCCAGATCTTATGCTACAAAAGCAGTACACTACAGTACGTGGGCCATGGCTGTGTTCTTTCTTCTCCAGACATACTCATAAGATGAAGGCTGGTTTTTGTTGTTTGGGCTTTAAGGTAAGGTCAAACAAAATTGTGTGTTGCACAGAGGCTTCTCTTTATGAATTCTTCCTCTTAACTGGGGACCCCAGAGGTTCTTGGCATCAGCTTGGACTTTCTCCCTGAAGAGAGGGGAGAGGTTCCTGGGATGACCCCCCAACCCAATCCCACCCCCCAGGTAGAGGAGCCCACAGTTCAGCTTTCTCATGCCTTTTGTGTTTTCTAACCAGTCTTAGTTAACAAAGGCATCTCTGGCCAGATGATCCCTTGTTAAGATATGGTAGCTACCCTGACACCTGAGAGGCAGCACACATGAAGGAAATCCCACCAAGGGCAGCTGGCAGCACTCTATGTCCTTATTGTCTGTCTCATGCCTTGTAGTGCAGCCCACACATTCACTAAAAGCCTAACAGTGAGCTGCTTCTTCATATGTAGGCACGTGTGTGTGAGCATGTCATTCCATGTGAATATGCCAGGGGGAAACCTGACATGCTTCGTGCCCATCTTTTGAGACTGATCTGCTATGGTGGCCTGTTCAGCCAACATTAGCACAGACTGCTATTGTTCCTAGTAGGCCCCACAGCAGCAGGCAGAGATGAGCAATGGAGCTGTGCACCTCACTTCTTGTATCCTCTACTCCTGTCCTGACTGTGAGCTTTCCCAGTGCCAATGGAATAGCACCCTCATCTCCCTGATTGGTGAAGTTTGAGGAGGTGGGTCACTGCAGGAATGTGTCTGTGGATCATACCACTTTCTAGGTTCTGTCAGGGTGTTCCTTGCCAACTTAGTGACTTAGATGTTCCTAAATGACATAAATTGCAAATGGATGTCATTTGGTTAAAGTTCTTTATTTTCTGGTTTCACCACATTGTGATCAAACTGCCATGCCATTTCTATTTCTTGTAATTTACTGTACCCTAAAATAGGCTGGGTTTTTAGTGGACTTTTCAAGTGTGTTTTAGAAGGTCTTTTCACTATGGTGTGCTGCCCTTGGTGTCTACCCTGTGCTGTTGATGCTCTGGTGTTTGTGTTCTTCTGACCCCATGGCTTGCCTGGGCTGACAGCAATGTGCTGCCGCTTGCTGGCACTTTTTCCCAGTCTTTTTCCAGCAACTATGGTTTCTGCTTGTTGAAGCCAGCTCTGAGTCACCTGGCTCTCAAGCTCACAGTGCACACAGCTTCACAGTGTCAACTATTCTGATTCATTGCCAGGGCAAAGCCATGCCCTGCCTGGTGTCCAGATTGCAGCTTGCTTTATCCTGATCCTCAGCCTAATGTCCTTCTGCCTGCTCCACTCCTCAGTGTTGGGCCTTTGTGAGTCATCAGCAGTCTGTGTGTACAGAGCACAGCTGGTTTTGACCCAGTCAGAAATTTTAATAGATGGTAAAGCCCATTCATGTGTTGATATAACTGATATGTTCAATCAAAACTCATTCCTGCTTCAGGTGTGTATTGTGTTTTATTTACCATATATAATTTTTTAAACTGTAGTTTGTCATCTTGGATTTCTTTTTATTTTAACCCTTTTAGAAATTAGGAAGGTTTGTGTTTTTGTTCTCTTGGTTACCTCTATATATTTACCCCTCAGTCTTTGTTGGAAATTGATATCAGGTCCCCCCATGGACCTCCAAAATTTGCACATGTTCCTTGTATAAAGGGGTGTAGTATCTGCATATAACCTCCATACTTCCTTCCACTCACTTTTTTTTTTTTCTGGTGGCACTGGGGTTTGACCTCAGGGCCTCACACTTGGTAGGCAGGAGCTCTACCATTTGAGCCCCTCTGCCAGCCCCCTTCCATTTACTTTAAATCATCTTTAGATGATTTATAATACTTAATACAATGTAAATGCCATGTTAATAGTATAGGGAGTAATAACAAGAAAAAACATCTATCCACGATCAGTACAGCTGCAGTTTTCTTCTGAGTATTTTCAGTCCATGGTTGGTTGAATCTGTAGATTCCAAACCAACAGACTCAGTGACTGACAATAATAATATCTTTCATAGTGCCCTAGTCCTTATTTTTCCTTTGACCTCATTATTTGGTCTATTAGCTTCAACTGTGTTCTTGTCTCCCACCTAGTTCCTATAGCCCAATCAATAAACTTACTCTACCTTTTTCCTCTATTTATTTATTGTATTTACTTCTTCAGAACAGCACCCCTAAGAAATCATCCTCGCACTCCTCTTCCATCCTTTTCCTTACTTTTTGTTATAGTCTTTGATCAACAAACATTTACTATTCTTGGTTGTGCTATATTTCCCTATTGTCTCTTGTCCTTATATTTTAGGAGACTTCACATTAAGTGCTTGTAAATACAGCACTGCTTGAGTTCTTGGATATTTAAAGCTCTAATTTTGAAGGAGTGTCTGATATAAAGTCCCAATTCGTTTTTACTGGAGTCAATGAAGGCATTTTCCACTCTACCCTGTGTTGTATGCTGTGTCAGGAACTGACATGGTCTGCTTCTTTCACCTGCAGTTCAGGGAATCTTCCTTGTCTCTGTGACTTACTTGATGTGCCTCTCAGGCTACTGTCAGGGCTCAGTGCACTCCAGTGCTTGAAGAGTCTTCTCAGTTCATAGAGTATTTTTTCTGAAAACACTTACAGGGTTTAATTTTAAGCACTAGTTCTGCATCAGACTTCTGCTTTTTGTGGAACTCCAATATATCTTTGGTTCTTTTCTGGCCTCTGATCTAGCAGCTTCTCTCTGATGGCTTTCACCTGGCTTGTCTCATTTTCTCCTGTTGTTTTGGTGCCTTTCCCATTCAATTTATTCTCCTTTGGCCCTTTGTAACAGTCCTCATTTCCAGGCTGATTTCATCCTTCTCTTTAACTTCTTTTGTGGTTCATTCTCATTCCACAGCTTCCTGTTTTGTTCTTTTAATGATTCATTTGCATCCTTGATACTTAGTTCTTCCGTTTCTGGTGTCTCTCACATCTGTACTGCTGTTAAAATTTTAGTATGCCCTGGAATGCTTAATAGTTCTTCTGGCTTTGTGGCTAGGGGGTGATTTCACCAGCTGAAAGGTTTGTTTTCGCTTTGTTTCCTCTCACCGGCCCTAATGGACTTCATGTTGAGAAGCCCATTTTCCCCAGGAAATGTGCCGAGCCTTCTTCCTACCTGCTTTAAAGAACAGCACTCCCTGCACAGATAGTGACAAGTGTCTCTGACTGGGGAAGTGTGTCAAGGGACTTACCAGGTTTCTCTGTCCAGGAGTATCCTTTCCTGCTGCTCAGCAAAATGCAGCTTAAAAAAAATAAACAGCCCTTCTAAGGAGATTAAATCAGCAAATCTTCTGATGTCTTGGTTCTTTATTTCTGTGGTATTTCTGTCCATTCTGCCTGCACTTCCTTCTCTTTTCTCCCATGGCATGAAGCCCTACCTCCCTCTTCCATCTTCTCATCTCTTCTGAGCATCTCTATCCCAAGACTTCACTTCTGATCTCTTGCACACCTCGCCTTTCCTTTTGAGCTCTCAGCAGTTAGTGCTTTGACCCTAAAGTCAATCTGTTCTCATTCTTTGGCTTTTGGGAGGGATCCTCTCTCTTCTTGAGGTGGATATGGATACTGCTTGCATTGTGCCGCTGCTAGGACTCTGTAGTGCTCCCCTCTTTCTGAAGTTTACACTGCCACCTCATCACACAGGATTAACTGTGGCATCTTCAAGGGATTGACCTGTGGGTTCTTTCTCTTACCTCATACTTTATTGGCAGGTGAATTCTCAGTTTTCTTCATTTGAGAAAATCATCTTGGCTGCTAGAGTTCTGAGAGCCCCCTGGACAAGGAACAAGAGGTCCCACTGTCCAGTCTGTCCTCCCCACTAAATCTCCATCCTCTTCCCTTTCCCTTTCCCTTTTCCTTTCTTCCCTTCCCTTATATGCTAGGTGAGCACTATACCACAGAGCCACATCACCAGCCATTTTTTATAGTAAAAATGGATGCAAAATTTATTAAAATATAATAAAAATGACAACAGAATACATTTTAATAGACTGAAAGCAAGCTGTCTCTAGAGTGAGAACAAGAATAGACAGTCCAGGCTGACCTTGAACTCTCAATCTTCCTGCTTCTACCTCCTCAGTGCTAGGATTACAGGCATGTGCTGCCACACCCAACTTCACATACCAGGAGGTTCATTCTTTTAAGTGTGCATTTCAGTGGTTCTGGTATATCCCAAGCATGAGCTTCAGGGCCCAGCTCTACACTTTGGCCCAGTCCTTTAATCCCTGTGCTGCACTTACACAGCAGCCTTCCCAGGTATGGGCCCTGTGAAAGAGGGAGGTTCTCACTCAACCTCATCATCATGGAATCTCCTTGCATGTTTAGTGTTTTCCTGTTCGTTTAGTTTTAAACCTCATGCTGTGGTGCAGGTAAGATAACCAAGCTGAAAACAGCCTTGGCAGCTTGGTCACTGGCTGCCTGGCTGGCTCAGGGAGCCGCAGAGATGCTCAGCACAGGCTCTGCTTACTGTTGGTGCTGTGATCTCACCATTTCAGTGTCAGATGCTCCTGCAGAGGTTGTTTATAATGCCCATCTTAGTCATTTGAGGAGGCCATGTGAGTATGCACCCACAGAATAGATTAACAAACACAACCAGGAAGATAATGGTATGAAATGAGTACTCATAACTGGGAGTCAAATTTCCAGGGTTGCCACCAAAACTGAATTCAGAAGGTAAAAAGTCAAAAGTGTAGGCCGAGGTAAAAAGAGGCACTCTGGGACATGCACTAGATGGTGCAGAAGGTGCTCCAGTGGGTGAAATGGCAAATGGAAATTGTAAGGTATTATTTTACTGTCTGTGAAAGTGGAAAAGCAGCAGTACTTAACGTGTAATTTAATAAATGGCATTTTGAAATCAGTGTATTTACAGATTAATATACTAACTAGTATAAGTAGAACATTTAGACAGGTTTGCCAAAAGATCTCCTGTTGTGAAATGGATGCCTCTCAGTGGCAGCAGCCAGTGCCCTGAGTCAGCTTTGCTGGCGCACATCACATCCCCACAGCCGTGAATTCTTCAGAAGTGTGTCCTGCTCTGTGCAATGCCAGAAGCCTGTCTATGGAGGCCCAGTCTTAAAATGAGGTCATGTAGCTGGGCGCTCACATGTCCCTGTGTTTCTGTGTTTCAGGTAGGTGGTCTCCAGACAAGCCAGGTCCACTACAGAGTGATGATGCTCTGAGCCACAGTGAGACTCAGCATTTGTATCTATGGACCTGATCTGAACTGCAGAGCCTGCCTATGGGGGAAGGTGAGTTGCTGTGAAGTCCCTTCTGCTTGCTGCTCACCAGGGATGCGACAGCGGGACTGAGCTCACCCTAGAAGAGTGCGTATGTTGGAAGTTCTATAGTCTTGTGTTCTCCCTGCTTCAGTCCACGATGGGCCCTGAGGTTCTGTTGTGCATAACATTGGAGAAGCAGAGATTCCCTATTCCAGCAGTCTTGGCTGGTCATTGTTGTATACCTTCAGGCCCAGTGTGTTGACTACCCATATGGGCTTGTGCCCTTCCCATGGAAATAACATGGGGAAATGGGGAATCAGGAGCAAAGTGCAGTTTTCAGGAATGAGGAACAGAAGGCTGTGCTGGAGCACTGAAAGTCATCACAAGTGTCTCTAGAAAGAGTGAGTCCTGACATCCTAAGGCAGGGCAGCATCAAGATTTGAGTGTTCTTGCAGTGTTTCATCAGTACCAGTGACTCAGGCTATTATCACAAACTTGCAGTGATAGAACTGCGAGGGAGTTGTCTGAGGATTACTGTACCTGGAGGCTCTAGCACACTGCAGAACCGCCAATAGTCAGTGACTTGAGCAATGTCACAAGTGAGGATGTACTGTCAACATGCTTAACCTCTGCACACAGAAAATGTACAAAGCTGGAGGGTGTTTTATAGGTGTGCCTCCACCCACAAGGCAACTGTACTGAAATTAGTAACAGAGGAATAGCTCATATAATGATGTTATAAAAACTCTTCACTGCAAGTGCAATCAAAAGAGAAATCAAGGGCTTTTAGAGCTGAGTGGTTGTGAAACAGCACTTCTCTACATTAATGTGACACACTAAAGCAGTGCTTGGGACATTTGTAATTATAAACACTGTAAGAAACAGGAAAAATTAAAATGCTAGCATAAACTCCAGTTTGGAAAGAGGGAAGAGAGCGAACCCCATGATACAAAGAGGCAGGAAATAATAATAGAAAGGGAATGGGGGTATGGCTCAAGTGCTAGAGCACTCGTCTAACATGCACAAGTCCCTGGGTTCAATCCGTAGTACCACAGGAAGAAAGAGAGCGAGGGTAGGGGTGGGGTTTCTAGGGCAGAAACCAGTGAAATAGAGAACACAAAAGCAGAGAAAATTAACAGAGCCAAAAAGCTGGTGGCTCGTGCCTGTAATCCTAGCTACTCAGGAGGCGAAGATCAGGAGGATCGCAGTTTGAAGCCAACCTGAGCAAATAGTTCGTGAGACCCTATCTCGAAAACCTTTCGCAAAAATAGGACTGGTGGAGTGGCTCAAGGTGAAGACCCTGAGTTCAAGCCCCAGTACTGCAAAAACCATGAAAACATATACATATATCAGTAGAAATTACTACTTTAATAGATTAGTAGGGAAAAATAGCATGATTAACTCAATGCAGAATAGTGATGATGTTTAATACTGTTATTGGAAGGAGGTGTTAACAAACCAGGAGTAGAGGAAAACTTCCTAAACTTGGAAGCGCTCACACAAAACCCCAGCACATGCATAGTACTATAGAGAACGTTAGGTGCATTTACTGTAAGACCAACAACAATGCCAGGTGATGCTGCCACTGCCAAGTTTTACATAGCAGACTTGCAGGGATCAGAGGCAGTATTTGAAGGGAAGAAATGCACTGGCAATATTCGTGGACAGTATGATAATGTGCTCTAGAAAATCCAGGAGAGTGCAAACTGCTGCAACAAATAGAGTAACTGAGCAGGTTTTCAGAATGCAAGATCACATATAAAAATGGGTAGTCTTTAAAAATGCAGTGCAGTCCACAGTGACATTGGAATTCGTAGAGTATGCAAAACTTAACCTAAGTGAGAATGCTCAGAGCTCTGTAGCTAAAATTTATGCTCTAATAAAGGACTTGGGTGACATGAACAAAAGAAAGAGATTTTGTACTTCATTGTGAATATGTTAATGATGTAAGTGTGACAGTTCTCCTTGCTCAGCTCATAAGCACAGTGTAATTTCAAATCAAAATTCTAGGTGGAACACACCCATGTTTACAGCAGCACTATTCACAACAGCCAAACTATGGAATCAGTCAAGGTGTCCATCAACTGATGAATGGATAGAGAAAATGTGTTTATACACACACACACACACACACACACATACACACACACACACACACACACACCCCACATACTGGAGTATTACTCTGACAGAGAGAAGAATGAAATTAAGTCATTTGTGGAAAATGAAAGGAACTGGAAATCATCATGTTAAGTGAAATAAGCCAGGCTGAGAAAGACAAAGATCACATGTTCTCTCATATGTAGACTCTAGACCTTTAAAAAGAAAAAAAAATGTCATGATTATAAGGCGGGGACTGTTTATAGGGGTGGGAACCAGCCAGAGGAGAGAGGATGAAAGGAGAGAGTGAAGTCAGGTTGAATATAATTAAAGTAATTCATACATGTGTATGAAAATAGAATAATGAGGTCCATTAAATTATTTTTAAAAAGAAGGAGGGATAAGAAAGAGTAATAGAGCAGGTGAATTTGATCAAAGTACATTATACGCACGTATGAAAATTATCACCAGGAAGCCCCTTTGTACAATTAACATACCCAATAAAAAATTCCAGGTGGATTTTCAAGAATTCAGTATACCTTTAGAGGCCATCTGAGGGTCTAAAGGCTACCAAAGATTTAAGACATTTGTTGGCATTAGAGAAGCATGAAGCTGGAAGCCTGGCTTCCCAAACAGTCAGACATCACATAGAGTCAGAGTCACAAAACAGTGTGCTCTTTGCATCAAATCGGACAAAGATGTAAATGTAAAAGGTAAACACCATTGACTTAGTAGGAGAAAAATTAGGGAAACGCCTTCATTATTGGGGGCAAAAAAGGAATTCATAAATAAAACTTCAAAACCAAAAATGATATGACAAGATGGTTAAGTTGGATTACACCAAACTAAAGATTTCAAGGAAGGATTCTAAAGTTAATTTAAAAATGGGAAAAAGGAGAAAATGCATGGGAAGTTGGAAATCAACACAGTATCAAAATCTGGAGCATATATAGAACTCTAAGTGAGTTCCCATTCTAATGGGGGCAGAATACAGCCCCAAACACCCTCATCCTAATCCCTAGAGTTGTGACTGTCCCCTCAAGTGGTAGGGCTGAGGTCACAGATGACTTTAAAGCTGCTCCCCTCTTGGCCTCTGCAGAAGATGATCCCATGGGCCTCTGTAACTGCATGGGCCCTTTAATGTGGAAGCAGGGACAGAATGTCAGAGGCAGACCCGAAGATGTTGAGCTGCTGGCTTTGAAGGTGGAGGAAGAGGCCAAGAGATAAGGGCTATGGGGGTCTCTGGGCACTTGAAGAGATTCCCAGGGCCCTCAGAGGGAACGAAGCCCTGTGAATCTGGAGTGTAGCCCAGAGAGATCTATTCCAGGCTTCTGGCTTCCAAAATTATAAGATAAGATAATCAATTTGTGTTGTTTCAAGTCACTAAATTCGTGGTGATTTGTAACATCAGCAATAGAAAACCAGTATGCACTGTAACTTTGACAGAAAAAAATGGCAAAGGATTGGGATGACAATTTACAGAAGAGAAATTCAAAAGTCTGATATGGAGATGTTCAAACTCCTAGTCAGAGCAATGAAAAATACATGATGTGATACCACTTTGTGCCAAGTAGACTGTCGAATTAAGTGCTGGTGGAGCACGCAGACCCAGCAGCATTGTATGCTGGAGGCCAGGCCAACATATGCTTCTGTAGACTCCACATGAAGTTCCCAAGGGACCACACACCACACTCACTGTCACACACTCACACACTCATACTCTCACATTCTCACAACACTCTCATACACTCACACTCTCACATACTCACACTCACTGTTACTCTCACACACTCACTCTCTCAGTCATGCACTCACATTTACTCACAGTCTCACATGCTCACACACTCATTCACACTCACTCACATACTCTCTCACACACCCCACATACACCACACACCTCATTTGGTCCTGTGAATGCAGTCATGGAAGATATCTCAGTGTCACTTCCTGGAAGACAGGAGACAGGAAACATGAAAGCATGCCACAGAACAGCTAGACAGACAAGGCACACATGAATCTTAAAGCAACATGCTGAGTTAAACATCCAAGAAATATTAGTGATTTTGAACCATTCTATTTTTATTAGTTAAAAGCATGTATAGAAAACCAAATACTTGGGTTGAGGGTATAGCTCAAGTAGTAGAGTGCCTGCCTAGCAAGTGCAAGGCCCTGAGTTCAAATCCTAGTATCACCAAAAAAAGAAAAGAAAACCCAATACTCATATATTTCACAAAAATATGTAACAGTAGAAGTCATGCATTAAACATTGTAGAGAGTTTCTGAGGCAGCAGCAGCTGGGTGGAAGAATGAGCTGGTGAGAGAATTGCAAGGTATGACAAGGACAGTGTATGTCCTCTGGAAGCAGTGAGGCTGAAGCACCATAAACTGAATGCAAGAAGCTCAGCATATCAGCCCTCAGGCTGGTGGCAGAGCACCTGCCTAGCCAAGTGTGAGATCCTGAATTCAAACCCCAGTGCCACCCAAGCAGTCAACATGTCAGCTCTCTGTGCATGAGGTTAAGAAAAAGATTTTAAAGCAGTCAAACTGAAGAAAACTAAAAAACAACCTTTTGAAACTGGAACACAGAAGGTTGAGGTCAAGCTGCCTTGTTTTACAGCAGCTTGAGGCCAGAGAGGCTATGCTGGTCATGTAGTATAGGGGTTAGACTCTAGACTTGCAAAGCTCAAACAAAACACTTCATGCCCTGCTTTATGCTGCTGTGAATCCTTTGTTAACATTCACTTTTATTTTTGATTATACATAACTTAGAATGTAGCATCAGTTAAGTGGCATTAAATCCATTTACATTGTTGTGCATTCGTCACTACCACCCATCTCCAAAATCTTCATTTTGTAAAACTGAGACTCTGTCCCCATTAAACAAGTCTCCAGCCCCTGCCACCACCATTCTTTCTGTCTATGAATTTGAC